CCTATTTTAATAGGTCTCATCCGCTCAATCCGCCAGAGTCTGTCTTCACATGCTCGGGATAGACAAATCCTTTGCTCACCGAATGTCAAAGACACAACGGCTACTCTCGACCTGGTTTGGCCAGCCTGTCGAAGCTGTTGTCCGGGGTGTGGCCGCTGCGCATGTTACAGCTACTAGGAGCCACAGGTGAGAGCTGAGTATCAGGTGGGGACCAAAGGTGTACGAGCTGCCCTAAAAAGGGCACGACATGCTACTCCTCCCTGAAAGGCTGAACTGGAACTACAGCTTATCTAGCTAAGCAACTTGTCTCTCAGAGCAAAGGAGAAGAGCAATAGTTCCCACCAAAAGTGAACTACAGCAACTTATGTTCAGTGAGAAGCTGCCTTCAATCCTGGATTTTCCTTATAGTCTGTAAATAGAGCAATTCTACCTCTCTTAGTATAGCTGGGAATTAAAGATCTACTGGCAAATTAATGTCTTTTTCTATGCTGCTGTATTGGGTTTCAAGGAATCTTTCCATTAATGGCAGGAAATAAATTACAGCAGCCCTTGGGGAAGATGGGACCTGAGATGTAGCATATCCAATTCCGTAACAAATCCCTACTTTTCAGCTCAATACCAACGGTGTTAATATATTACTTCCCCAGTAGAATGGCATTTACTCTACTTCCTGAAGCCCTTCCACTAGTTTTGGGAGAGATTGGATTTTCTTCCTCATATTTGTGAAAGGCTAAAACAGTGGTGGCGAACCTATGGCACGGATGCCAGAGGCGGCACTCGGAGCTCTCTCTGTGGGCACATGTGCCGTTGCCCCAGCCTTACCTTCCCCCATGACACCCTCCTCTCCAGCAGCCCCCCTGAAGGAGAGTCACCCCCGAGCGTGGCCCACACGGAGCAGCGCAGTCAAGGACATGGCAGCCAGGCAGCGTAGACAAAACTCTGCCCTCATGCCCCATCATGCACAATTGATGTTGCGGGGCGCGGGCAGAGGCGTGACCACCATAGTGCTGCTGGGCTGCCTGGGCGATCTGTGGCGGGCCCTGGAGGTGGTGAGTGGTCCTGTGGGGGCAGAGCAGGGGCGGGACCAGTTTTTGGGCACTCGGTCTCTAAAAGGTTCGCCATCACTGGGCTAAAACAAAGGCAGTCATTACAGAATATATTGTAGTGCAATCCCAGCATTTCCAACTGGCATAACCAAGACCACCACAAATGGGGTGATGGAGTCCCAGTGCAACATATCTGGAGGACACGGGTGGCTCTGGCTCATAAGTTTTAAACTACAATGATATTGTTCTGGTTTCTTATACCACTAACATGCTTTGTAATTGTCTTCATAGAAGCTGAACAGCCCAGCTTCACAGGGTTGATAAGGTTTAATTCTTTATTTATGCTTTATGGTAACAAAATAGCAACAAAGAGGCATCAATGTTGGCTATTTTTTAATTTTATAAATGTTTGTGGCCCATCTTGCTACAAGGTGATTCTTAATCAATACCTATTTCAGCCAGAGTTTGAAATTATTTTTATCCTGCTATTATTTTGTATAAGTACCTCCAGACAACAAATCAGTATCAATACTATTTCCCCCACAATAACAACCCTGTGAGATGGATTGGGTTGAGGGAGTGACTGGCTCAAAGTAACTCAGCTAACTTTCAGGTCTAAGGCAGTACTAGAACTCACTGTCTCTGGGTTTCTAGCTTGATGCCTTAAAAAAGGATAGAGAAGAGCAACGAAGATGATTAAGGGCCTGGAGGCTAAAACATATGAAGAACAGTTGCAGGAACTGGGTAGATCTAGTTTACTGAAAAAAAGGACTAAGGGTGACATGATAATAGTGTTCCAATATTTGAGCGGCTGCCACAAAGATGAGGGGATCAACCTATTTTCTAAAGCACTAGAAGACAAGACAAGAAACAAAGGGTGGACACTAAGCAAGGAGAGAACCAAACTAGAAATAAAGAAAAAATTCCTAACAGCGAGAACAATCAACCATTGGAACGGCCTGCCTTCAGAAGTTATGCGTGCTCCATCACTGGAGTTTTTTAAGACGAGACTAAGTGGACGATTATTGTCTGAAATAGTACAGGGTCTCCTGCCTGAGCAGAGGGTCGGACTAGAAGACCTCCAAGGTCCCTTTCAACTCTGTCATTCTGTTCTGTTCAAAGTACCAGACCAAATGTCTGCTTCGAAATACATACAGACCTGGTCTTCATCCGCCCCGATTCCAAAGTCCATTCCCACGACCCACCATTGCCCCAACCACGTAACCCCAGCCCGCATCCATTTCTGAGTCGTCCCTGAGGAACATCGCCATACCTCACGGCCACACACAACGTCCGCACCCAGCTAGATCCACGCGCGAGTTTGAACTGCTGATCAATCCAGCAGGCTCGGTAAGAGCCCCGATTCAAATTTTTGTTGCCGTTTGTAATTGGTCGTTGAGACAACAATACTGCGTTTTCATTGGTTATATTCTTATTCTCTGACGTCAGTCCGTCTACCATCGGAAAGATGTAATTGGAAGATGGTGCGGGGCTTTTATTGGTGCCCTAATAAAAAGTCCAGCCCCCCGCCGAGCCCGGATTGGTTCGAAGATTTCATATCTCGATTGTTGCCGCTCCACCGGTTATATATTTCTTTTTTTTTTCTCGGAGCAGTTGGGCGTAAAGAAAGTGAAGGCGGGAAACGTTACGATATTTGTGTTCATATCTGACAGTACGATCCTAAACTACACAAGCAGAGGGAGGGGTAGTAAGTATTGTGGAAAAGTTGCAGCCCATCAATTTCCCCCTTCCTTAATTGGGGAGCACTGTTTTAATTGTCAGACCTCCGGCAGGGTTTTGTTTTTTTTTTCATTTCCTACCTAAACTCTTCTCTTGAGAATTAACATTTGGGGTCATTCTGACTGCTGGAAAAACACTGTCCAGCCCCTTGGTTTCAATTCTATTCGATTACTATTAGGATAAGGGTAAGGGCTTTATGAGTCCTCGTCATAGGAATGTTTTATTATGTAACGGGTATTTTTTCTTGTTTTGATCATGTTTACTTATTGTTTGCCCCTCGAAGCTAGTTAACGATTAGAACGTTTAGTAAACTTAACAAAATAATTACCCATCTCCCAATTGCTTCCTCAGAACAGATTCTAAGCGATGAATAATGATTTTAATATACTGCAATAAAAGTTCTTTAAGCCTTTTCTTGCCCCACTTTCCACTTGTTTGTTATAGCGGCTAAGGACATCCCAAGCCAACCCGGAAGTGACCGGTGTGAATCCCGTCGTGTTTCATAAGTCTATGCTCAAAAATCCCGGGGCTTGTCTGGTGTTCCGGGACCGGAAAAGGAAGCCGTGCTGCTTCCTTCTCCCGCGTGGGAATTCGTGTTACATTCCGGGCACGCGCTGTATTGCAAGTTCGGGATTTTTACGTGTCGGGGTTTTTTTTATTTCATATTGAAGGCGTAACTAGCCGGTAAGTAGAATTTGATAAGCAGATGTCGCTTTTTAGATATCCAAAGCCGGGGAGGGGAAGGGGGGGCAATGCACCCTATGCATATCAACTCGGAAGTAAAGGAACCCAATCTGAAAGAAGTGTGTTAAATATTCCGTGCTCAACTGTGCTTCAGAATCTCCTCAAGACGTGGTGCACGTAACTTATCCTATCCCTTCTTGCCTATATAAAATCTCTTAAATTGTGATCTGTAGGTTAAAAAATGGAACTTTTTCATGAGGTTCTGGTGCGTCGTTATAAACTGTCAGCTGCATTGGGAGAAACCTGCTTCTTGTGAGCAGCAGGTATTTTCATTTATTTTTTTTAACATGTTTATGATACTGAACTGAGAACATTTTGGTCTTTTAAAGGCATCTTGGTGTAAAAAATAAGTTAAATATGTTTCTCCCCTTGAGGCAATCAAAGAGAAGAGCATGGTGCGCAAACTGAAATTTCATGAGCAGAAGCTTCTCAAGAAGCTAGACCTGGTGAACTGGGAAGCTGCATCAGGCAATCTAGCTGAGCTGCGTGTGCTTCGTCGTTACCGTATACAGCGGAGGGAAGATTACACTCGCTACAATCAGCTTAGTCGGGCTGTTCGGGACCTAGCACGCCGAATCAGAGACCTGGGTGATGTACCAGAATCAGCGGGTTTCCGTGCTAGGAGCACTGCTGCTCTTCTGGAGAAGCTTTATGCCATGGGTGTGGTACCCTCTAAGAGCTCTCTTGAGCAGTGTGATCGAGTCTCGGCCTCTTCCTTCTGCCGTCGCCGTTTGCCTTGTCTGCTCATAAAGCTCCGTATGGCGCAAAACTTGAAATCTGCTGTTACCTTTGTGGAGCAAGGACATATCCGGGTGGGACCAGAAGTTGTAACAGACCCTGCATTCTTGGTGACCAGGGCCATGGAGGACTTTATTACCTGGACTGATTCCTCTCGCATCCGACAACATGTACTCAACTACAATCAGGAACGGGATGATTTTGATCTAGTTTGTTAAGAACAACCTTTCTTTGGTTATGCATTTGGGTGATTACACCTTAAATAACTCAGTTAAACTCAGCTTCAGGAGATGTCTTTTATTTGTTTTGCTTGCTTAGTTGTGTATACAGAGTATAGTTGTACACAGACTGTAAACCAAACACATTCATTTGTGATCAGGTGCCATTTTTATCACTGCATGGTTAGGTTGTCTGTCAGAAAGAAGTGGGGGACAACAATCTCATATGGGCATCTTGCAAAACATCCTGTGTGTTCCTTTTTATTGACTTCATTTTGGATGACGGTGAAGATTAACTGGATTGCATCTGACCTCTTTCTAGAAGATAGTATCAAATCTTGTTTCTTCTAGAATGCTTTAATTAAAACAGACTTTATTATTCCCTTTTGATCACAACTTGGATGGCTGCCTACAACAAATCTATGCAGTCATTTTAAGATTTATTTTTTCTTGGCATCTCAGCAAGCTTATGTTCTGTTTGTTTCTATAGTAACATGTTCTCTATTAATGTACAAGCTGTTATGCCAATGTTAAACTATTGGCTGGAACTTAAGATTTTGAACTGGTTATTGACTGTACGTCTTTATGCTATCCATAGCATCTACAATAATGGAAAGAAATTTACTCTAATTATAGTTATATTGTATAATACCTCAAAACATTAATTTTGATTTCAGTTTTGGAGCGTAAAGATACTTAAAATTTTTGTGTCATCTGTAAAATCTCTTAAAATTTACTCCCAGCTTTCTGCAGTTTAAAACAAATGTGCTTATTAAATCCTGTAATAAACTGCAGATTGGAACTAAAGGACTGTGAAGCTTTAGCTACCTATGATACTGGTAGAGCAATAACATAAGGCTCAGGATTTACATGAACCTATTATTATTGGTAGCAAAGCTAACTGATGAAATTAACACATAGATTGAGCCTTTGGTTGTTAAATGGTGAATTTAAAAGTTGAATTCTCGCATATACATGCCGAAAACTGTTCACTTTCTATAATTGACTTATTTGCATTTTCATAAAAAAAAACCATTACGAAAGCAAATGAATGCTTGAGAAGTTACTGCCAAGACCACTGTGCTTAATTTGTCCTTCAATTTCAACTCCTGGTCATAGCAACTTCAAGTCAGTAGAGCACTATTCAGTGAACAAAATTCTTTGTTCTCTGCATATTACCTGTAATTACTGAGATGCAGTTGACAATAATGAGAACTTTTGTCCTAGAGCAGTGGTCCCCAACCTTTCTGGCTGGGGGAGAAGAAGCGAGCACGTGCACAATGGAGCTTTGCACACGAGCATTCACCGTTGCGCAAGTGGAGTTTTGCATGTGAATGCCCGCCACTTGTATAACGAGCTGCGCATGCACATGCACTCACCCGCTGCTTGTGCAGTGCAGTTCTGAATGGGAGAGGGGATGGTTCTGTGCAAGTGGTCGCCATTCACATAAATGGAGCTTTGCAGATGAGCACGAGCTCCCACAACTCACAAGTGGACCTGCGCATGTATGTGCGCACTCACATTCACGTGGCCCGGTTCTGAACTGGCTATGGCCCGGTAGTGGGCCAGGCCCAGAAGTTGGAGACCCATGTCCTAGAGCAGTGGTTCTCAACCTGTGGGTCGGGACCCCATTTGGGGTCGATCGACCATTTCATGGGGGTCGCCAAGCAAGGCTGTCCGCCAGTTTTTTTGTCCGTCAGTTTTTTTCCCCTTTTCCGGCGGGTGCCTTACCTCCCTTGGGCTGGGCCAGCTGGTGGTCGGCCTGCTCCGTCTCTGCCGCTTGCCAGCTACGCCTCGGCCGGCGCAGGGGGCGGAACCACGCATGCGCGGTGCTCCTGGGCAGGGAAAGTCCTTGACTTATGACTGGTTGGGTAGTCCTCGACTTACGACCGGTTTAGTCCTCAACGTATGACCGGTTTAGTCCTCGACTTACGACCGGTTGGGGTCACGGCATTAAAAAGGTTGAGAACCACTGTCCTAGAGTATACAATAGGTAATCTTCCATTCTTAGAGAAAAACAAATCATTTGCAGAATCCATTGAGAAAGGCATTTCTTCCTTAAAAGGGAATTGAATTGAGTAATAATAATATTAAAATATATTAAGGGTGTTTTTACACAATATGCTAAGCCATTGTTTACTGAAAAATTAGAGCTGGCTGGATTCATACTTAAGATTATGATTGCTTAGAGCAGGGATCCTCAAATTCTTCAACTCATCAACACCTTTATGAAGCTTGGTTTTGTTCCTGGGATGGTAAGACTCATCTAAAGCAGAGGAGGGCATGATTTGGGAAATGTGGATGACAAACAGGAGGAGGTATAGCAGGACCTTGCCTACCCTTTGTAGATGATCTCAGAGACTATAGTGATAGTAGATGAAGTTTTACCAACCAGAGGAAAGCCAACTGGTAGCTTGATTAACAAGAGGGGAAAATTGGCTCTTTCTTAATTATAGATACAGTGAAGGAAAAAATATTTGATCTTCTGCTGATTTTGTACGTTTGCCCACTGACAAAGAAGTGATCAGTCTGTAATTTTAATGGTAGGTTTATTTTAACAGTGAGAGACGGAATAACAACAAAAAATTCAGAGAAACACATTTCAAAAAAGTTATAAATTGATTTGCATTTTAATGAGTGAAATAAGTATTTGACCCCTTCGCAAAACATGACTTAGTACTTGGCAAAACTCTTGTTGGTCATCAGAGATCAGATGTTTCTTGTAGTTGCCAGCAGGTTTGCACACATCTCAGGAGGGATTTTGTCCCACTCCTCTTTGCAGATCCTCTCCAAGTTATTAAAGATTCGAGACGGATTATTTGGCAGCTCGAACCTTCAGCTCCCTCTACAGATTTTCTATGGGATTAAGGTCTGGAGACTGGCTAGGCCACTCCAGGACCTTAATGTGCTTCTTCTTGAGCCACTCCTTTGTTGCCTTGGCCGTGTGTTTTGAGTTATTGCCATGCTGGAATACCCATCCACAACCCATTTTCAATGCCCTGGCTGAGGGAAAGAGGTTCTCACCCAAGATTTGAAGGTACATGGCCCCGTCCATCATGAAGTTGTCCTGCCCTCTTAGCAGAAAAATACCCCCAAAGCATAATGTTTCTACCTCCATGTTTGACGGGGATGGTTGTTCTTGGGGTCATAGGTAGCATTTCTCCTCCTCCAAACATGGCAAGTTAAGTTGATGCCAAAGAGCTTGATTTTGTTCTCATCTGAACACAACAGTTTCACCCAGTTCTCCTCTGAATCATTCAGATGTCCATTGGGAAACTTCAGATGGGCCTATACAGATGCTTTCTTGAGCAGGGGTACCTTGCAGGCACTGCAGGATTTCAGTTCTTCACGACGTAGTCTGTTAACAATTGTTTTCTTGGTGACTATGGTCCCAGCTGCCTTGAGATCATTGACAAGATCCTCCCATGTAGTTCTGGGGCTGATTCCTCACCATTCTTATGATCACTGAAACTCCACAAAGTGAGATCTTGCATGGAGCCCCAGACCGAGGGAGATTGACAGTTATTTTGTTTCTTCCATTTGCAGATAATCGCACCAACTGTTGTCACCTTCTCACCAACCTATTTGGCGATAGTCTTGTAGCCCATTCCAGCCTTGTGTAGGTCTACAATCTTTTCCCTGACAGCTCTTTCGTCTTGGCCACGGTGAAGAGTTTAGAATCTAATTGATTGATTGATTGCTTCTGTGGATGGGTGTTTTTTATACAGGTAACAAGCTGAGATTAGGACCACTCCCTTTAAGAGAGTGCTCCTAATCTCAGCTTGTTACCTGTATAAAAGACACCTGGGAGCCAAAAGTCTTGCTGATTGATAAGGGATCAAATACTTATTTCACTCATTAAAATGCAAATCAATTTATAACAATTTATACATGCGTTTTCCTGAATTTTGTTTTTGTTATTCTGGCTCTCACTATTAACATTAACATAAATTTACCATTAAAATTATAGACTGATCATTTGTCAGTGGGCAAACGTACAAAATCAGCAGATCAAATACTTCTTTCCCTCACTGTAGTGGTACCATTAATACTGTACTAGTATTTACAAACAAAGAGTATATTTATTTTATTATCATATTAACAGAATAGTAGAGTTGGAAGGGAGCTTGGAGGTCTTCTAGTCCAAACCCTTCTTAAGCAGGAGATCCTATATCATTTCTGACAAATGGCTGCCCAATATTTTAATAAAAATCTCCAGTGGTGGAGCATCCACAACTTCTGGAGGCAAGCCATTCCACTGGTTAATTTCATTATTATTATTTGTGTGTGTGTGTGTGTGTGTGTAAATATACTGCCCAATTGCCAATAACTAGGTACATATATACTAAGTTAATGGTATATGTTGCAAATATAGACATGCTTAGAGGACCTTTGGACTATACTAGTTATTCAGTAAAGGGCAACGCTCCAGTTATAAAGCCTTTTTAGATCTCAGGCCAAAGCTTCATTCCATTTGCTGGTTCTTACAAGTAAAGGAGGTTAAAGAAGGTAAGAGAGTCTAGGCTTGGCTGATATAGCTGTAATTAACTTTGCAGAGGAATGTTATCTGTTTGCTTAATAAAAGTGGGAAGTCTAAAGTAATGTTTTATAACATTTTATGGGTTTCTATCAAAACTATGTTCATAGTTAACTCTGGTTACAAGTACAAATTTGGTTATACATATAAAATGAAAGAGGAAGAAACTGCAAAACCAATATACAAAAGAATAGTAAACAAGTTAAAAGGAAGACAGATTGAGAAAGTTCTAGTTGGATGCAGTTGAGAATTCAAAAAATGTTAAAAGCTTAGAGAACAAAAGCTGAGATATGAAGCAATATATGAACATGATGGAAGTAAGGATAGAAAGTTGCAAGAGATATTTTCAAACAAAATTGGATAGCCTTTTTTCAGCAATACTGTAATAGACCTTGTATTAAGTAGGGGAGATAGATTTATCAGTGTCTCCTTTTTGTCACCAGGAATGGGTTTTGTGGAAGACAATTTTTCCATGGAGGGGGGGGATGGCTTCAGTTTCACTTGCTTTCCCTTGCCGCTCACCTCCAGTTATGTGGCCCAGTTCCTAACAGGTCACGGACCAGTACTGGTCCCAGTCCATGATCCAGGATTAGGGGACCCCTAGATTAAATGAGATACATTCCAACTCTATAATTCTAAGAATTTTAGCAAATTTATTTTAAAATTATTTGGAGATAAAACTGTATTTGTTAATGGTGCTTAAAGTTGTTTTCTCTGTAGGAACAGCTTAGGTGAGATAAGCTTTTTCTATAATAGATCATGAGCGTTGTCATTTAAAGTATTGTCATTTATCAACTTCATCCAGAGAACTAGTGAAGACTATTGTTTCTTATTCAGTGAACAGGTAAGCCCCAAAACTATTGGTACAATGTCTGTGAGGTAACTCAAGTCCAATATCTGTATTTGCTTAACCTTCACATGTACAGCTCACAGAGGAACCCTAACTGAAGTTCTCTTATTCAGATTTTTTATGTTCCAGGAAAATGCATTTAACAGCAACCTTTAAAGAATTAAATTGTATAATGGAAGGAGTTGTTGTTTAAAATATCTAAATATCTCAACTTTCTGAAAATACTTTTAACATGGATTTCTAGAGGGCAAGCATTGTGGCAAAGAAGGCGTTCTTCCTGGGTCCCAATAGATGGCACTGTTGAATTGAGGGGAACCAAAGAATGCTAACTCTGCCAGCTTTTACTGGATAGGCAAACATCATGGAAGATGGGTGATCCCTCAACTTCATTGGTCCTATTTTGTCTATATAAATGT